ACCCGGGTGGGTGAGAGTCCGACGGGCCTGGAGAGGAGCATCGACTGCGGGCCTTTACGGGTGAGGGAGCCTGGGGGGTCGGGGAGAAGGAGCGGGGCCGGGCCGGATACCCTGGGTGTCGTCGTGGGCCTGCCTTCAGATTTATCAAACAGGTGTGATTGCCACCCTCGGCGAGGCGAGCTAGGCCCGGTCGAGGGGGAGGCCGGGGAGGTTCCGTTCGGGAAGCCAGCTGGGTGCACATGGGGGCGTAGAGGGCAGTTTGGAGCAAGTTTAGCGGACACGCGCCTGGAGCAGAGGTTAGGCATGATGGCTAATGGACCAGCCATGAAGGGGGTGGCCCTAGCAGGGCAAGAGCAGAGACCGGGGTCGAAACTAACTCTTCGCTCGCCAGGCTTTAGTGTCGGGGATTGAGACAGTGTTCAGTGTTTGCCGCCATCGGTTCTGAATAGGCACGAACGCCCCCGGCCCCCGTTTCCCCACACCTTTCCTAGCAGCACCTCACAGCAGTCAGGAGCCACTTGAAGACATGATTCTGCTCCGAAGATCACCTCCTGCACTGACTAACTCCGGGCTTTCACTGCGGGAAAGAGGGGCATCCTTTGTCTCTTCCCCGGGTGGTATTTCTAGTACCCCTAGAAATACTGAGTAATTGTGATTTCTATTATAGGAGCTGATGTTTACGTAAATCGAACTCTTACAATTTCATACAAAGTTGAAGGATGATTATAGTTTTGTTAGGAATATACACTCGTGAATGAATCCTAGGATGGACCTCAAGAAATCATTTACATCAGTTTTATTAGGCAGGATTCACTGACATTTTTTAGAATGGGGTAGACAGCTACCTGTCTGGCCTGATGATGATGTAAACGCTGGCGTCTATTGAGTATGGTGTTGTAGAGTTCAAGATGGGAGGATTTAGTCCCAATTCACTCCTGTGCTATGTTACCTTGGAGTCAAGTCCTGAAAGCTCCACGTGCTCCAGCATGCTCATGGGTAGACTGGGAATACTGCCTAGATTATAGGGATCAAATGAACTATTAGAAAAGACTTCTTAAAATTCTCAATTGAAGTGTAATCGCGCAATTTAATAAATATAGCCAGGCCTATTAAAATCATCAGCGAATGAAGTGTTCTTTAGATTTAAAACTTAGTCAGATTATTATTGAAATTGTTACAAACTGTATGTAGATGAACCCCAGTCTCACACAGCGCAAGGGCCCACCCACTTCCTGCTTTAACCTTGTACTCAAGTAATACCCGGATGCCCCGAGAGCTTTTGAGATATATAAAGGCAGTTTAGATGTGGCCTTAGATTTTGTTGCTTTAATTTTTATAACAACTTTTGAAATCTTCATTCCCAGTATCTATTACTTGTTGCTCTCAGTTTCTTGTTTCTAGCAGCAGCTCCTCCCTGTGTGTATTCTAGTGTACAGTAGAGGTTCAGAACCCAAACTGTTGAAATTGTGTCCAAAGAATGGTCAACCAACTAAAAACCTTACATGATCTTAGTAAAAATGAATTTGGAGTATGGTTTTTGTGATGCCACTTGTGGCAGTTTCGGAATTTTTATTCTGCTGGATTTTCTGAAATGTGACCTCCAGATAAGTCTTAGACCATTCGTCATTCACTCGCTAGGCATATATTGGCCTTTAGACGCATGCTAATTTAGTAGTTAAACAGGAAAGGTTCTTGAGAAATACTTAAGAAGAGTTAGGGTTTACTTTTAAAATATTAATCTAAAGTCTTCAAAATAAGACCCCAGTGATAATGATGAAATTCAGCTTCAAACAACCATGCAATTCTGTTTACTGAAGTTTCCTAGTTTTGTGGTAGCTGAGGGCACCTTAAGACGCTGAAAATTATTTCTTTTGTAAACCAAATACATTTACCTGTTTCCCTCTTTTCTAAAATCTTCAAAATTTAGTATCAAATCACATCTTACTTTAACTTGCCCACCATATTAATTGGGCACCAGCAGAATTTTACTGCATGGGCAGCAGAGTAAGATAAAAGAAGGTATCCTTAAGTATGGCTCTGTTTTGTAAAATAGCTCATATAAACATTTTGATATTAATCTCTGATTGCCTGGCTAATGGATTCTTATTTCTATCCAGAATGCTTGAAGTATTTTGACTAACCTGAAATCCTTATTTTCCAAATATAGGTTATAAGTGATGCTTTGACTAAATTTTTAACTCTTACACAATAAAACAGAGAATTCAGCTTCACTAGTGCATCTTCAGTACTAACAGTACAGAGTCTGGAGGCTTGCAGGAATGCCGTGTAATTTGTGGTAACCTGTGACAAATGAAAATGTAGGACTCTTTGTTAAAAAATTATTAAGAATGTCAAGACAGTAGCAGCAGAGAATTAAACCGAGTGTGGAGTGCTGTGCAGCTGCATAGGCCAGGGCCCATGAAGGTGGCCCCGCTGCCTGGTTAAGAATCCTCACTGTTCCTTATTGGCTGTTATTTTGAGCAAGTTACTGTACCTGCTTCCTGGTCTGTAAAACTGGGATAATGATGACACATCTTTGATTGTATTTTTAAGAGTTAACAAATATAGGGGGGGAGGGTATAGCTGAGTGGTAGAGTACATGCCTAGCATGTCCAAGATCCTGGTTCAGTTCCCAGTACTTGTTAAAAAAAATAAATAGACCTAATTGTCTCACACCCAATAAAAGAACATTTAAGAAAAAACGAGTTAACAAATACAAAGTACTCAATAAAGATTAGCCAGTTTCATTTATTTTTATGATCATTCATGGAAGAGGACCATCTGGCTAAAGAAAAGCAAGGAAAATATTAGTATTTACTGTTTAAAATTCATTAATTAAAGGCTTCATAATCCTAGTTCTTCTCCTGTGTACCTCTCCCTTCTCTCTCAAATTATTAACCCCATTTTGTGTGTTTTGTGGGCATATTTCATTGTAAACTCAGGCAACTTTATAGGAAAAAGAAATCTAGTTTAAATTATCTTAACGTCCATCTAAACTTCTTTTTGAGCTTTCTTTAAATTTCATGGTCACAACTGTATGTTAAATAGCACGAACATCAAAATGTTTAAATGGTCTGTTGCCTTGAGGAACTTAACTTTTTAATGCTTTCTGCCTTCTGCATTTAATGTACACATTTTACTTTGTTGATATTTAGCCTGTTTATCTTCATACCTGAAAAATAACAGTGCTGTTTGTTACCCATCTTTCAGATGAAAGCACACCCAAAAGCTCAGTGGGCTCAGTTATCAGGGACAAACGCTAAAGTGCATGCTTTTAAATTAATCTATTAAAAATCGGTTTAAATGGACTATTAGCTTGTTAAATTTTATTTGAATAATTGTTTTAATCATCACAGTTTACTTCCTTTCCTTACTGTTCTTAGAACCAGGTATAGTGTTTACAGCATAACATGATCTGAGTCCTTTTTAAGGGAAAGAAAACAAACCTCTCAGTATTCTACATAATAAACTATGATTTCTTTCCTCTCCAAGAATGCTAACTTTCAATTTAACATATACATAATAGATAACCTTTTTGTAGCTCATGTACCCAGCAGTGTCTGACTCATGGATTAATTTAAGGGTGAAATAAGTTAATAAGAATTTATAAAAATGAACTTTAAATTAGTTACTAACCAAAGTATATCTTGAGGGCTTGCAGTGTGACAGGCACTCTTAGGTGCTTGCATACAGTAATCCATTTCTTCTTCCAATAATTTCATCTCCATTTTACAAATGAGGAAATACATTCTCAGTTTAACTCCCTTAGCCATGATCATAGTTGACATCTGAACACCAGGTCTGACTCGAGAGCTCATGCTGTTCCCATGCCTGGGTTTCAATCCTGGCTCTACTAATTTTGTGACCTTGGGCAACTTACTTAACACGTCTATGCCTGCATTTCCTCATCTGTTAAAATGAAGATAACAATCATCCCTACCCTATAGGATTGTTAACGTAAATTAATCAGTAATGTATAAAGTTCTTTGAACAATGCGTGGCATGTAGTAAGTGCTGAACAAATGTTAACTTCTGTTATCACACCACACTGCCTACCCAAAGCCTCTGCTATCCTGCAGCATTATCTGGATAGTTACCTCTGGTTACATAGGCCGCTTAATCCATCTTTAGGGAAAAGTTAAGAACAGTTGTCCTTAAGCATATTGCGATTTACAG